CTGCTACAACCTAGTGGAACAGGGAATATTTTCTGGAGCTGTTCATTGGGTGTCTGTGCTCCCTAACTTCACACACACACACACACACACACACACACACACACACACACACAAAACGACCTTCCTCTTAATGGACAGGCAACCTCTGCACCTCTCCTGGGATTCTCCATGACACGTGAGTCATCCATCCACAAGAAGAGGGACCAGATGATCCGAGCCAAAGGACACAAGACCGCCAGCGGCACCACCACCCTCTTGCCCCCTGGCTTCCCATACTCTCTGCCAGGGCTCCATGCCTGCAGCATGTTGGCTTCTGGGAGCGCTGGGCTCTCCATATTCTCATGGCCAAGGCTTGGAGGAAAAAGCAAGAATGGGGGACGCACTAAGGGTGGGCACTATAGGGATGCCAGTGGTGAGGCCCCTCTGCTTTGATGATGCCAGCTTAGGAAAAGCTGGTGTGAAGCTGGGATCCTAGAACTCTCCTTTCCCAGCATGAGCTTGACAGCTGGAGCATGGTGGCAGGTCCCCGAAATTCCACTTTGACTCATGCATTTGGATTTGGATTTAGACCTCGTGAAAAGGCAAAAGCATTAAGGAAACAGGTCCTCACGTCTTACTGCTACACAGAGGTTGAGACGGGCTCTGCCCCAGGGTGCAGGGTTGACAGGAGGAGGCCATTTCTGGGATCCCAGGAAGAGTGTACCTGGCCTAGGAAGGCGGGTAGTTCGAAAAAGAAAATTACCTTCTGGAAATGTGGTCAGCAAACTTTCTCTGTGAAGGGCCAGAGAGTAAATATTTTAGGCTTTGTAGGCCACTAGGTGTCTGTTGTAACTTCTCAGCTGCTGTAGCGTGAAAGCAGCCACTACGTAACACAGAATGTGGCTGTATTTCCACATAACTTTACGTGTACGACAGACCACATGTGGCCTGTGGGGTGTAGTTTGTTGCCCCTTGTCCTAGACGACACCTAAAAATACTCTAGCCAGTCTCCTTTGGTCCTACGTTCTCTGTTTCTCCTGCTCTCAGTTCACACCTCCCCTGCACGGCACTCTAGAAATGCATCCTGTTTATCAGTCTGTAACCCCCACAGCTTCTGGGGCAGAGACTGTCCCTGGCACCAGTACAGGTGTTTAGTACATATTTGGGGAGCAAGGGTGTGTGGTGGAAGGGGAGACGGTATTTACCGCAGACAAACCTCACTGACCACTTCCAGCCCCTTGGCAAGAAGCTACAGGGCTCACACAGGAAAAGGGATTTTTGCTGACGACAAGCACTACCAGGAGATAGCATCCTGGCTTACAATTTCATTCCTTGTTAAGATGCAAACCCATGGGCGGATCTTGACGTCAAGGCTAACATCCCAGAAATCAGCACAGCCAGAACCGCCTTCAGACAGGCTGCTCCCACCTCTGGGGAGCCCTTCCCGTCACAGACTCATCACCATTCACTCCAGCCTCCTCCGATGAGGAGGAAAAACACTGTGGCCAGCCAGAGACATAAAAATTCTTTGTTATTGGAAAATCTAAGTGTCTCTCCAGGCCTGTGCAGCACCATTAGGTGACGTCAATGGCTCAGGGTATCTGAGCTCTGCGTTTCCACTCTTCTCAGAACAGCAGCTAATTCACGGCAATAAAGATGTTTCTATTTACAGCATCAGAAAAGAGGTGGCCCTCTTTTCTGTATTCTGCACCCCTAAGTCCTGTACTAAGGGCTTGCCTGCTCTCCCTGGGAAGCAGGAAGGATTTGTAGGTGGCAGGAAGCCAGGACCTAGACATTCAATTTCATTCAAGCTAACCATCGGCCAAAGGGCCCACCGTGCGTCAGGCAGCATGTGCCCCCAAGGACAAGCACAGCCTGGTGACCGCACTGGAGAGGAGAGGGCATTGAGGCACACAAACAGCCATGATGATGGTGGGGGGTGACAGATGGGTAGAATGTGGGCACACGTGGTTGTGGGAACACTGGTGACAAGGAGGCTGGGGGTCCGACTGAGAAAGAAAGGAGGAAGATCAAGCATCGGCTGGTGGGGGAAGGCTGTGCTTGATACCGGCCACAAAATGTACTTGGCTCATCTCTGGCATGAACACGAATTAGCACAGGTGGGCCTACACCGTGCATAGCAGCTTCACAGCCCATGACAGGTTGGCTTGCACTGTGTGGGTTCAGTGGTTCTCTTTCAAGAGCCACCAGGATGTCTCCCCGCCTGTCACCTCTCACCCAGATCTCTTTCTTTCTCTTGGAATGTGTAAACTTTGCTGACAGAATCTACTTTTCTATGAAAGTCAATTCCCTTCCTTTCCCAGATGTCTCAGTAGTAAATGAAAACTTCCTGATTCTAGGTGAAATTCACCATGCTGAAGAAGGCATTTTATGATGAATTAAATACTATGAAAATGTAGGATTCCCTTCACTAGTCCAGAATATTTTGCTAGAATAGCCAAATCACTCTTGAGAAAGAACAAAGCTGGAGGCACCATGCTCCCTGATTTCAAACTACATTACAAAGCTGTAGTGATCAAAAGAGTATGGTGTTGCATAAAAAAAAGAAACATACATCAGTGGGACAGAAGAGAGAGCCCAGAAATAAACTCACATATATATGGTCAACTAATTTATCACAAGTCAACAATATACAGCGGGGAAAAGACAGTCTGTTCAATAAATGGTACTAGGAAAACTGGACAGCCACATACCAAAGAATAACACTGGACCACTATCTTAGACCATACAGAAAAATCAACTCAAAATGGAAGAAATATTTGAACACAATATCTGAAACCATAAATCCCTTAGAAGAAAACATAGGGACTAAGCTCCTTGACACTGGTGTTGGTTATGATTTTTTGGATACAACAGCAAAAACAAATGCAACAAAAGAAAAAATAAATAACTGACGCTACCATCATCGCACTAAAAACCTTCTGCATAACAAAGGAAACCATCAACAAAATAAAAAGGCAACCTGCCAACTGGGAGAAAATACTTGCAAATCAGGGATTAGTACCCTTATCTATATATATAATATATATATAATATATAAAGAACTCCTACAAATCAAAAGCCAAAAAAAAATTTTTGATTTAAACACTGGCAGACACTTTTTCAAAGAAGACATAAAAATGGCCAACAGGTACATGCAAAAGCGCTCAACATCACCAATCATCAGGAAAATGCAAATCAAAACCACATTGAGATATCAAGTCACATCTTTTGAAGCGGCTAGTATCAAAAAGATATGAAAAGTCAAGTGTTGGTGAAGATGTGAAGAAAAGGGCACAGGGGCTATGTAAAAACACTTTGGAGGTTCCTCAAAAAATGAAAAACGTTACTACGATATGGTCTGGCAATTTACCCCCGGACATTTATCCAAAGGAAACAAAAACACTAACTCAAAGAGATATATGCACCCCCATGTTCACCGCAGCATGGTTTCCATTAGTCAAGACACAGAAACAACCTAAGCATCCAGTAATGGATGAATGGAGAAAGAAAATGTGGTCTCTCTCTCCCTCTCTGTCTCTAATACACACACACACACACACACACACACACACACACACACACACACACGATTATTCAGCCATCAGAAAAGAAGGAAATCTTGCTATTTGCAGTAATATGGATGGACCTAGATTATCTCCTAGATATCTTAAGTGAATTAAGTCAGACGGAGAAAGACAAATACCATGATATCACTTACATGCAGAATGGAAAACAAAAAACTGAATGTATAGATACAGAGAACAGGTTGGCTGCCAGAGGCGGGGTGCGGGGATGGCGAAATGGGTTAAGGGGTCAAAGGTACAAACTTCCACTTATTAAGTAAGTTATGGGGATATAATGTACAGCATGGTGACCACTGTTAACAATACTGTAATGTAAATTTGAAAGCTGCTAAGAGAATAGGTCTCAAACGAAGACTTCATCACAAAAAATGTTTTGGAATTATGTGTGGTAATGCATGTTGACTTATGGTGGTGATCGTTTTGCAATATATACATGTATCAAATCATTGTTAAACAAAAATCAGGCATGAAGACACGAATACCTTCAATGGACTGAGATACCAGCTGAAAGCCCACCACAGGCTCACGGCACCCAGGTTGGACTTCCCTCCAGGAGCTGCCTATTCATGGGAGACGAGCCTGGGCATCAGCAAGTCCTATCACCCCAAAGTTTCTCTCCTTGTCTGGCCAGCCTCCACTATCTGATCCCAAACTTTCCAAGTCTCCAACATGCTCCTCTAAAATGGGTCATGCCCCAAAGACCTTCATATCCTTTCAAGACATTATCCCTTCTTTTAAAATCTCCATCTATGTCAAAGGCCACATTTTGTGTTTTCAAAAATAGATCACTAGTAATTACGTATGTTCAGGGCTTTTTAACCAATAAACCTTAAAGGATGAATGAAAATACACATAACCCAATAATAAAAGTATAAGAAAGAAAATTTACCAACATCAGCATTGTTCTCTACGACAAAACTACCTTTATGAGTTCTTAAATATAGCAACTTATTAAAATTCTGTTATTCCAGAAGACAAGATTCTAACGTATTGTTCTGCATGGTATAATGGTAAAAATAAACAGTACTAATAGTACTAATTTTTACTAACTTGGAATGATTGTTTCTGATAGGAACTGGTGGGAGTGAAATGCTCAAATACATACATGCTTTTCATTCATTTAAGAAATTATGATAGACAAAGAGGACTTTTTTAATTGGAAGAAGAATTTTATGCTCTCATGAAATACATTAGTCTTTAGTTGCACAGCCACAGGCTAAATCATAACTGCTGTATATTACTAACAAAGCAACATAAGCCTGCAGGGAATTTTTTTTTTCTACTATTTGTCTGTCAAAGGAGCCTAATTTTGTCATACACCTCCTAAATTGGCAAGTACAGTAAGATATGGATAAAGACAAGCAGAGAACAGTGGTGAGAATGTAACATGTGGTCAAGCTGACAAAGCAAAAGGAAGGAAACTGAATACCATACCTGCTTATTATTGTCAGTGGTACAACACAGCTTCTTGAGGGAGACAAAATGCCTAATTTTCCTAATAACATAAATTATCAGTTATTAGTGAGTCAGATAGGAGATGATTCAACAAATCAGCAAATGAAAACATCAACAGAATTTCTTAAAGCAAAACCCCAGGGTCCATTCTAGGGCACATTTAAATTTCAAACAAAACCTAGTCTACGGAAAACACATTTTTCATACACAGCCCACACATGCCTCCAGAAACTGGGCTTCCCTTTTAATCACAGTTGGCTCAGACACACTTTCCTAATGGATATTTCATTTTGCAACTGACTCCTGAAGCTTGTCTCCCAGATATCTCCAGCGATAGGATGAAACGCTCCTCGAGAAGAAGTTGGTTTTAGTTCCACTGACATGAATAATTTTACAGCTTATATAAAAAGCAAAAGACTCATTTGGACAATGACCAAATTACATGGCTGCTGTTTTCATATTAATGTTCCATATTCTTTCACAGCGTGGTCATCACAATGATGGCATTTTTCAGGCAGAGAAAAATCCTCTTATTTCAAGGTTATGGACAGAATCCCAAAACGGCCTACAGTCTTGCTCATTACCACAAGGGAGACCAGAAAAGGCCATACAGCTCCCTGCACAAAAATCAGCTCAAGGTAGATTTGGTACCGAGAGGGGAGCCAGGAATTCTAGAGGGCTATGTGAGATTTTATAGGAACAGGAATGAGTCTCCTGTTTCGCTCTCTTTGATTCAGTTTTCTCTGGAGGACTGAAGAGAGTATAGAAAATACTGGTTATTCTGTAATAAGCCTCAGTAAACAGGAAGAGATAAAATTTCCCTACTTTTAATAAGAATTTCCTTTGATAGTGCACTGTCTACAAGTGAGGGAAAAATAACACTGCGTCTAGACAAAAGAACTTCCCACTTATCTGTAAAATCAGGGAGATAAGAAAAATTCATTCTGACAGAAATTACCAAGCAAAAGTGTCTCCTCTTGCCTTGGTCACCTAAGAATTCTGGTCACACACACAGAGCGAATCTTAGCTTAAGTTTTCTGAGAAGAAGGTAGCAACGTGACAGCCATCATGGCCTCTGAGCACAGACTGTTAGTGGAAATGGCCATGCCAAGGCCACCAGCTCAAGGGGCAGGGGGTGGCAGGGGAGGCCTCTCTCTGTGCTCAAAACCCTTGTCAGGCCTGCCAATGCCCCAGAGGGAAGCCAAATGTCAGGAAATACGAGATGACGGTCTCTGAAATGAGGGGTAACAATTTCAAAACTTACCAAACAAGTACAATTGGAGAGGAAACAACCTAAGACATTTAGCTGACTTTACAGAATGTTTTGTTTTCTAACCACCCAACAATTTGGAAGGTACTCAGGTAGTCTTACGAGTCACAGGCAGGACTCACCACTTCTGGTTACTGGCATGACAACTGCTACCTCTTCTTTTTCCAAAACATCACGTGACAGCATGGGTCCCTTGTAAACCATGCTATGAAGCTAGTGTTGACCTACAAGGTGGTTTACTAGAGGCTCCTCAGTGGCGTACTTGTTTAGGGATCCTGTTTGGCTTTGTAAACCCTCTCACAAAATTTAACTGAGAGAAGGAAAAGAAATTATGTATTGACCTTCTCTGATAATCTGACATTAAATGGAATCTTATCACCTGATTCTGGCCAAACACACCTTTATCTATGTAACCATGACCTCCAGGACTCTCTTCACCTTGTGGAACAAGCCGCGAGCCAGCCTGAAGAGAACCACTACAGAGCTGGTGCCTCAAGGAGAGAAAGGTGGCTCCCAGCGCAGGGCTGAAGCCAGCGAGCCTTGTTGTTTTGTTGTTGCTGTTATGACAGGGGAAAGCCTAAAAACAGCTCCTTCAGAGGGTAGTGAGGATAATGGAACCACAGATGATAAGGCGGAGGTGGGCAGCTGGGGAGATGCTTTGTAAAGCCCATAAGCAAGAGAAGAGAGGGAAAGGGAAAGCCACGTCTGGAGGCTGTTGCCAGCCACATGGGTCTGTCCACAGTATATGCTATGTACAGCCCAACCCCACCGTATGAGTGGGTCTAGTGCTTACAGTGGTATTTCCATATGCAAACCCAATGCCCACATGAGCCCTTCAATTAAAAGAGTTCAAGAGTTCGCTCTCACCCTCCTTGGCCAATCACTGGGGTAATCTTCACGTGCTGCTGGATGCTGTCCCCGGATTTCCGTCTGGCATAGTAAACCCCCTGCCACTCCTACATGGACAAAGAGAGCTCTTAAAATCCTTCCATTGAGGCTAATGGCTGCTTCTTCAGAGGATCTCATCAAGTTGAGCAATAAAGTTCCCACATGCTTTCATTACATTCCATAAAACATTGCTTTATCATTGTACCTATTGTAACACTTACCACCTAAGGCTCGTGGTCACCCTGCACTAAGACCCCAAGATCAACATGTCCACCTCCAAGATGGCCCCTCAGGGTCCTAGGACAGTTGATGAGTGGGTAGAGCTCCGCTCTCAGTCCTATGGGTCTAAGTGGCACCAGGTCAAGGTGCCATTCTGATGGGGTCTTCCTTCAAATCTTCACAGCAGCCTGTAAGCTTGATACTATCATCCTTAGTTTTCAGATGGGTAAACCAAGGCTCAGAGATTCTAACTAACCTGCCCACATACACAAAGTGGAAAATGTGGTTCTAAGTTCTTGTCTCTTAATTTATCTTGAAACCTGTCTTCCTACTTTCTACGGGGCATCCTACCAAGACTTCTCTGGGACTCGTCTGGCTCCTGGCAGTTTCTATGAAGTTAAGGAGAGTGTGAGCATTCTTACTGTCTCTGGACCCCAGGGAATTAGCTCATCAAGGGCCTGGTGGTCCCTCTACCATGTCTGAGAGGAAGGAGATAAACAAGAACCCAATTTTCTCTTCAGCCTGTTTCTGCCCCCTCCCTCACACGAGACGGCTAACTGGTGTGCCTCTTGGGCCACCATGCGTGTGGCAGTACCACCCTGGCAAAATTTTCTAGAGTACTTGATAATGTCCTGATTCCTTTTCAGTCTCACTGCCCCTATTTTTTAAAAATTAACGTTGGCTGTCATATACAACCCAAACGTATTTTATTCCTATAAACAGTCCCCAATTAAAAGAACACAGTGCTCATTTCACTATTTCACATCAGAGAAAGCAAGATGAAAGACATAACTATGTGAAAACATTCTGAATGCTTAAAAGAAAATGCACAGGGAGTTCCAGCTGCCGGAGCCATACTCCACTTCCGGAAGAGAGGGCTTCAGGGAAGCTTCCTGCCACACTGACAGCCCTCTCTTTGGCTGCTGGACAAACTGACATGACAGGGAGAAGTGAGTGGCATGTCTCTACTCAACTATGATCAGGAAAGAGAACAGAAAAAGGGAAAAGTGACCAAGAACAGGGCCCACATGGAAATACGGATACATGTACTTCCAGTCCCCCAAACAATGGACACACTAAAAACACACAACAGCCCTGTGGGCAGAACTCTGCTCAGAGGCAGCAACGATACTGCAGCAAAGAGAGCGAGGACAGATTCATGGAAAGGATAAACTCTCCTTACACAAAGTCATCAGGTTCTACATCATCGTAAGTGCTTGATTCACTTGTATCCAAAATTAACCTCCAACTTGACTCATTTTGCCAACATAAGAGATCTTTCACTTAATTATCATGTCATCAAAGGAGCCAATCTTAAAGACGTGACATAAAACTCAAACAAAAATGCATTGGGGAGGGGTCTGCAAATCTGTCTGTTGCACCCACCTTGCCCTTCTTGATGCACGTGTTGATGGTGTCAAGAAGGTCTGCCCGGTTCTTATCACTTTTGGGCAGCTCGGCGAGCTCTTTCCCCAGGAGCTCGCCTTTGTGGTAGCCCATCATCCTTTCAAAGGCTGGGTTGACGTACTGTGAACAGGAGGTGGTTAAAGGTCAGTGTGGGTATGCTGTGTGCCCTCAGGAGTGCTTGCTGGGACACAGAGGAACAGGTTGGAATATCAAGTAAGAAGTTCCCTGGATGAGCACTCTCTGACGTGGGTGCCGACTGGTCTCTGTCACTTCAGTAAGCCCCCTGGAGTCGCTGCCTCACTCCTGAGCAGCAATGTATTCATTCACCACCCTAGTTCTCTCTGGGGCATTGGAAGAAATTCCTTAGCAGACAAAGAGCAAGAAGTCCTCATCTAGCAGAGCCAGCCTCTTGTGGGCCTTATTCATCCCCAATCGGCCAAGAAGAAAACAGTCAAAAAATAAAAATGAGTTAGAATAAAAATGAATTGGTTGAACAGGTTGTGGCTTCTATTAGTCACATCTCTACAAGGCAGAGATTTGCTCTCTCATGCCTCCTTTCTAACTGCCACTGCCTACTAACCAATGCTATGGCTTGGGGCCACTTCCCATCTCACCTGAACCATAAATCTAGTTCAACAGGTTGTGCAGGAGGCAGCCCTTTCAGTACTGGGCACATGTGGGTGTGAGAAGAGGCCACCTTGGCACATCTGGAGGCCAGCAGACTCAGAGGCTTCTTTCTAAAATTCTGCCCAGGGCCCTGGAATTCAGAGCTATTTCCTTGCCTGACTCCCAGGTCCCATCTCCACCCTCCAACTCTTCTCCAAGAACAATCTACTAGATGAGAAGCTGAATAAGGGAGACAAGAAAGACAAAGAACACGGGGCAAATGTGACCGTACAGCCTCTAGGTCATGGATTTCTTTGGGCATCACGTACATCCATCTGCTGCTTCAGAAACATGCTTGCAAACTATAATCATAATCACTCTTGCACTCCACTATGACAATAGTAGTAAGTAGCCTGGTGATGCAGGGACACTTGGGGAGCTGTTCCCCTGCGAACAAACCTCCTACTAACACAATTAAACTTGGGAGCTGGAGAGGTTTGGAGGGTGCTCTGGAGCCTGAGCACGAGGACTTATGAGGCTGACAGAAGAGTTGGGGTGGTGACACTACCTTCAGCGATCTCCTATCACCACCCTCCTGGGGCCAGGCAGCAGGCTACTGCTCACCAGGTGGGCCTACACCTGCGGGCTGAGCTCCCTGTACTTCCTCCTCATCTGTGGGCCTCTGCCTACGTGTTCTCTCCCCTCACAACACCCCTCCCCAACTCCATGCCCTGCCAAGTTGGATTTGTCCCTCCTCCCATCTCCTCCCCTCCTCTAGCAAGCTACCCTTGACCCCATGCCCATTCTGAGCTGGAGCCACTTCTATAGGCTCCCACTCTCTCCTGTGCAGGCTTCCAGTGACTTGTCGCACTCAATCCAAGTTTTTATTTATCTCTCTCCCCCACTAGACATAAAAATCCTCCAGAAAAAGCCTACTTTGGATTTATCTCTGGATACTCAGGACTGTTTAGTAAATATGTGATATATGTATTATTTTCCTTGTTGGCCAAATCCTCATACATTTCCATGTGTGTTTATTCTACCTTCACTATTCAGTTGCAGATATGGGTACAAGTCATGGCCCTCTGTTCATGCTAGGGTTCCTGTAACCTCAGAATGCAGCAGGCACTCAAACATAGACTCTGGAGCCAAGGCACTCAAGTTCAAATCCTGGTTCTGCCACTAACTAGCTCCATGACTGTGGGCAAGTTACTTGACCCCTCTGGTCCTCAGTCTCTTCATCTGTAAAATGGCTACAGTAGTAGTTCCTGGCTCATAAAGTTGTTTTAAGAAATAAATGAGAAAGTGTAAAATGCTTAGTGCTGTGCCTGGTATATGGTAAGCTTTGTGTAAATGTTTTAAAGCAAAGAGTTGAGATGGATGGATCGATGGATGGGTATATATTATTCCTAAATTTAAGGGCCATCAACTAACCTCTGAACATGCATAGTCACACAGAGGCATAAACCCCTCAGTGGCCGTGCCTTGAGAAGGACTCTGGTAATGAGTAAGAATATATGTGAAATACCCTGTCCATGAGGGCTCCTCTTGAAATCCCTAACACAAATGTCACTTTATTTCTCTTTTCCCTATCACATCCTGTATTCAACTTCTTTCCCCTTGTTTTTGAGTTTTATATTCAGATTGCCAGTAGGTTTTTTCAAGGGGAAGCCTGTTTCCTCCTGGTCACAGTAAAGGTGGGCAGGGGGCGACTCCACCACGTCACCCCCTCCCCACCAGAGATACAGGGTCTCTAACCACCAGATGCTCACCATAGAATGAAGGACTCTGCTCCCTGTTCAAGGAGTCATCAGACGACAACTGGGGAAGGCAACTGGAGAGCAGGGAGCCCCTTCTCCTCACTACAGAAATCACAATCTGGCTGCCCACTGTCAGAGGGGGGTGCAAAGCAGATGCGTTTCATGTTTGGAATGGATTGTTCAAGTCTGGACAGAAGTGAGGGGGATGTGAGATTTGCACTTGGTCGGTAGCAAACATGTCTGGTTTCTCTGCAGTACAGGATGCACACCTGTGTGTGCATAGGTGGGCACTAACAGCAACCAGAGGAAGCTTTCAGACCCACGGCAAGGAACAGCCACAAAAACAGATTCTGGAAATACAGCCAAACACGGAACCAAGAGGGAAGGCTTTATAATCAGAAAGACGGCTACAGATTTTGGTTCCAATGCTTATTACTGGGGTTTTCCTTGGGTAAATTCCTTGACCTTGCTGGGCCTCAGTTTCCCCCATCAGTATCATGGGGCACTTGTGTTTCTTTCACAGAGTCATTGAATGGAAAGGAGACAACATTACGAACATGTTAATGAAGGGGCCAAGGCAGGGTGGGCTGCTGCTGTTACTGGTTCGGTTTGACAGCAGGGTGTATCTGTGTGCGGAGGGGGCTTTGTTGTGTGGCCACCATATCCTGAGCACTGTCTTTGGTTTCCACTGAGGACAGGAAGTGTTCCTTACACTCAGTGCCATTATGCAAACCAATTCCAGGCAGGCCAGTATCCATCGATGGAGAAGTCCACATTTCAAATTATTGTTGTAGCAGAAATGTCTTACCTTCCAACAAATACAGTAAGATGACTTCATTTCAACAAAGGTTCATCTACTATACACATTTCCTTAGGAAGACAACTTTACCATACAAGACTGCTGTATAATTAGAATACCAACTGCAGGCAAATAGATGAATACCTTTGAAAACATTTCATTCCCATAAGCATTTACTCTACAATTTTGACATACTTCTGGCGTCATTTAAATGCTGTCTTCGCAAATTATCAAAGAATTTACCCTATCTTGGTCATAGGAAGCATAGGTTTGGATCCAAAATAATTTTTTTATTCTCGGTGAATATCTAATACTTAGATTTCAGTCTATCAGTTTTCTTTACATATTTTTGATGCCCCTTTCTCCAAAGAAAATACACAGTAATGTGAGGATTATAGGAAAGTTCCTTGGAAAAGGATGGCTCCAACTTGAAAGGTTCTGTTTTGACATCTCCAGACAAAAAGTGTCTCCGTACCTGAATCACATGGTCATCACTTGTAATTTCTATGGCTTCATGACAGTGGTCTAATGCTGTAAACACTGAATTACAGGCCCTGAAAGTTGCGAAAGATCAATGTTAGTGAAGCTATAAAACCATTAGCGTTTCATATGTTAATTTATCAAAGTAAACAGTTCCCCCAAATTCATTAAAGCCATGTTCTTTGTGAAGGAAAAAAATCTCTAGCCTTTCAAAGTAAGCTAGTTTGTTTGACAGCAGCATACATTTCTCTGACTATAACACAAAGAAGAATTGCAATCCAGCAAAATCTTCATGGATCATGGAAAGAACCACCTATGTGCTCAATGAAACCTTAATACAGACCTAAGAGAACGAAGTTGCAGGAGGCCATCTTACAGGTCTCCCGGATCTACGTCAACACTGTTCTTCTGTTTCATTCCTAGTGGGGCCACGGTGGAGTCAAGTCCCCAACAATTAGAACTGAATTAAACCCAAACTGAATCTGAGGTAGTCTGTCTGCCCTTTTTCAATAGACACAGAAATACTTTTTCCTCTTTTCTTACTTTCGTAATCTCCAGTCAATAAGCCTTTATATGGTACTTTGCTTTCAACCTCACCCACTGGCACGATGGAAGGCACGTATGGCAAGATTCCTCTTGCCTGGTTAACCCTACAGCTCTCCAGGTAGGCACTTTTCTTGGTGACCTTTCTAATATACATGTAGAATACTGGAAATATTTCAACTTCTCAATTGCTTAGAATTTTAAGTACCTTCTAAATCTAGCGCAACTCCAAATATGGTAAGTTATTTACTATCTAACACAGAAAGTATGTGGCTAGTTTCTAGAGCTTTTATATTTGTGCTGGCTGTTTAAAGAGTCCCAGTGAGGCCTGTCTGACACATTATAAAAAAAAAAAAAAAAAAAAAAAAAGGATTTACTTGATTCATGTTCCTTCTTATAAACCATACTGTTTTATAAGATGTTATTCATTTTTTCCACTCATGGAGGCATCTAAATTTGCCATCCTGTTTTAAACTATTTACAAGGAAGAGGGGGAAAAAAACCTGGCTGAAGTCTGGTTCTGTATTCTGCCAGTTATGGCACCACGGGCAACTTTTTATCTTTGCTGGCTCCCAGTTACCTCATCTATAAGTGAGAGTAATAACACCTGTTTTATAGGTTGCTGTAAAAATCAACAGTTTATGTGAGGCATTTCTCAAAGTGCTTCAGATAATGTAAGAATTCAGCTCATAGTACTTGTTATTACCTGTCAGATCTCGGAGCAGTATCTCCCTACTCTCTAACACTTTCAAAGGCCATTGGTGGAAAGAAAAGGAAATCATAACCTATCTTTTCTCAGGAGAATACTTGAACTATCTAACGAAGAACTGCATTCAATAATAGCAAGGTAACCTGCATGAGGAGTGAAGGATTTTAGTCCATGGTGCAGTGATGAAGGTACCAGTGTGGAAGGGTAAATAAGTAACTGCGATGGGTGAGCTGAGGAGAAGGTAAGTCTAACTTGTCTGAGATTCCAGATGGGTACAGTACGTTTCCTCATTTAAATTGTACCAGTCTAGGGGCGCCTGGGTGGCGCAGTTGGTTAAGTGTCCGACTTCAGCCAGGTCACGATCTCGCGGTCCGTGAGTTCGAGCCCCGCGTCAGGCTCTGGGCTGATGGCTCAGAGCCTGGAGACTGTTTCCGATTCTGTGTCTCCCTCTCTCTCTGCCCCTCCCCCCCTTCATGCTCTGTCTCTCTCTGTCTCAAAAATAAGTAAACGTTTAAAAAAAATTAAAAAAAAAAAAAATAAAATAAATAAATTGTACCAGTCTAATTTCAACCATGTACTGCCTTAATACCATTGCCGCATTTGTAAACCAGATCACCTAAAATAAGGGGGAAAAAAAGAATTTTAAATCATTACCAAAGTCACTAGTACCCTGCCTCCCACAAAGAGGCAAGCAACAGCTAGTCGTCTCAGAAGTATTTTCCAGGCATGTGCGTACAGAACCCGATGGTGCAGCAGAGGCAAGCATTTCCTGTCCCCCAGGAGTCAGACGTGGAAAAGCACATTCTGTGTGGACTAAACCTTACATTTGAGAGCTAGATAATTAAGCTATAACACATTTTATCAAATGACAAATTCATCTTTTGCCCGTTTTCTTAACGTGCCTGTGTGCCTCACCTAAGCATTTAAAAGGGTACTTCAGAGTATTAGTGTTTTTGTCAATTCAAGAGCAGCCCTTATATAAGATCTTAGCTCCAAATGTCCAAAATTCATCTATTAAACATTCGTTGTATGATTATCCACAAAGCATAAAATCTTCAGTATAATGCCCAATGGGACAAAGCAAATTCTCATCAACAGTCAAGGTAGAAGGATCTGGATGGGACCAGCAGATGGTTTTCTCCCAGTGACATGCTGGACAGCACTGTTAAGAACTAGGCTTTAAAGCAATTTGGCTGATGGTTCTATTTAAATAAACCTGCAGCAAAATGAAGTAATCAATTTGAATCATGTTCCTAAAGTTTGGGAATTTAATAGCGTGTATTAATTATTAATATTCTTCATGCAGAAGAGCCTTAACTTTATTAATTTTCTGTTCTTAGGAACCACGTAACTGTGCCTCAGATAATTTTTGTACCTTTCAGGTTGAGAAGTTGGAAAATTGGAAAAAGCACAAAGGAAAGGTAGCCGCGATGTGGAAACCCATGAAGTACAGGCCACAGAACCATATCCCCTCACCTTCTTAAGGAGCCCTTGAAGGTCCAGATGGAAAAGGCAAATATTATAGGGGCCCAAGTGTCATGTCTACAAGTCTACAAAGAACACAGTGGTGTGACAGGGTGGTGAGTGCATCCGACTGAAGAGCAGGATGCCGGGGTCCGACCCCAACACTGCCACCAACATACTGGGTAGCTGTGATCATGTCAAGAGTCTCCCTGGCTCTCAGTGTTTTCCTCTGTCCATTGGGGCAGGAGTGGTTGGGTTGCATTATCTCCTGTATTCCTACCACGGGTATTCCAGAATCTACTCAAAACACATATATACACAAAACGAGGCTGCCTGCAACAAGGTGGGACTGTGCAAGGTGGTGGCTTCAGGGAAACCTAAATCTGAACCTAAATCTACATCCCAGCAGGGTCTGGGAGGCAGGCAGAGGGAAGCACAGGTGGCCAGGGCGTCATGGACTTGCTCCTGGTGAGCCCCAATCCTGGGTAGCCGTACCATGGGAGCCAATTACATTAAGGTTTCACTGCTTGGACTCTACTCCTGTGACAGTGCCTGTCACGCAGGGCCCATGATAAAGTGCTCTATAAATGTCTGTTGATACCGAGAAGTGTGGTATTCCATGGAACTCAAGTTTTGTCCATCAGAGACTTTGACTCCTGAAATGGAGGACCGCGCTATTCTCTTTAGACTTGGAATCAAGTGAACATGATGATTTGGGTCTAAGTCCTAGGTAAGAGAAACAGGGCTGCATTAGTATAAACTTACCAGTTTAAGCTCCCGGTAAGCAGCTAAATCCTATCTGCATTTCAGATAACACAGTTCTTTTCATGATAAAGAGGCATAAGAACATTGGAAGAGAAGTGATCACCATTTACCCTATATTTCCCTAGACAGTCTCCATTTCATTTGTCCCATAAACAATAGTACTGTTTAATAAGGTAAACTCATCAAGCATACAGAGATGTGATTTATCTCCTCTCTTTAGAAGTTATTCTTTATAATGGAATTTTAAAATTAAATATTTTTTCTTTGATCACATGATCGTTCGGTGTTCTTGGCTAAATATGGTTACCATACACCAGGACCTGGACAAGAGTGTCTACCTTCAACATTTGACATCATCCTTAGAGTACAGACTGTCCTTGCAGAATGCTAGCAATGTCACATATTTAGCTGCAGCTGGGGGCGGAATTGCAGAGAAAAGTATTATATAATTAGACTATAATTATTCTGGCATTGTATAATAAAGAGCCTCATTTTCCCCATCTGCAGCAAGTGACAGAGTTGCCTGCCTGACTCTGAGGTCCAGGTGGAGTCTTTAGATGTCCCTGAATATGGATGGAGCTGGGGAGATCATGGAATGGGTCACCAACCCCTGACTGCTAGGCCCAGATATAGGGTACCCAGGAAGAGTCAAACCATGTACACACACCCTTCTCCTCCAGAAAAGGAAGGAAGTTGGAGATGCTTGAGGCAGAACTAGCCAAAAACCAATGGAAGAAACTGACCACATAGTCCTTCTCTGGCCTTCTGTGGAGAACTCTTGCTTTCTTTTCCCCACAGCTGGGGCTGCTCTCTTGCTGGGTGCTCATGACCAGGAAGAGAGGCTCTTTACCAGTCTTTACAAGACTCTTTACCTTAAGCTGCTGTGGAAAGGGATCTGCACCCGGGGCAAACCTACCTTTCGGACACCATTGCTTGCCTGAGTCAACTCCATTTAACAACTTCACACTGATCTGCATGCATTAAGAACTTGAGCTTTCTCATTATGACCTCCACAATGGGCTCAACTCCTCCAACCAGCTCCAGTCAGTGAGGGGTGAGAAGTTATGGGACTTATGCAGGCTTATGTACTTAGAAACGTGCTAAGTTCAGAATGTGATGAGACCCTCAGAAGTGTTCAGTGCCCTGGCTCTAAGCAAATTTTATCAGCACAGTAACTTCAAGCCCATTCTTTTAACCCTCGTGCTGGCTAAGAATGTTTATTTCAAATTGCCAGACCTGCCTTTGCCCTGATGACAATGAATGAGGCTTCTTTTTTTAAGAGAGAGAGAGGGAGAGAGCACGTGTGCACACGTGAGCTGGGGAGGGGCAGAGGGAGAGGGAGAGAGACAACCTGAAGCAGCCTCCACACTCTGCACAGAGCCCAACACGGGGCTCAATCCTACAACCCTGGGATCATGACTAGAGCCAAAATCAAGAGTTAGATGTTTAACCAACTGAGCCACCAGGCATCCTCACCTTCTGACATCCTACATGTGCCATCACACTTAAATGTTGCCTAAGAAACCTCAAACCTCAGTTATTTAAAATCAGTTAATTAAAATGAAGGATTTACCTATCAAAGCAACAAGGGGTCTGCTGTTCATTCTTGTTGTGGATCATACGCAGTTAAAGAACTGAAACACAATGACATCCCTCTTTTTCTATCTATCATGAAAAAATCTAAACGTACAGTCTTTTGGGGGCACCTCGGTGTCTTAGTCGATTAAGCATCCCACTCTTGATTTCAGCGCAGTTCACAATCTCATGGTCATGGATGGGATCAAGCCCAGGTTAGGCTCTGTGCTGAGCTTGGAGTCTGCTTAGGATTCTCTCTGTCCTTCTTTGCCCCAAACCCACTCATTCTCTGTCTCTCTCTCTCTCTCAAAATAAGTAAATAAACATTAAAAAAAATAAAAGTACAGTCATTTTATCCTTAATTAAAAAGAGTAGAGATCCCAAGGAATAAAAACAATGTACAATAAACATCATAAATTGCTGAAGTCAAGGCAGTGTGGTTTTCTTGAAAACGTCTCTTAAGTTCTCTGAAGTTAATAAATACACGGATACAAAGAAACCTAGGGATTTCACTTATGTATTCAAAAACCGTTACCAGTATTCCTCACTGAAGACTTTTTTTTTTAATTTTTTTTTCAACGTTTTTATTTATTTTTGGGACAGAGAGAGACAGAGCATGAACGGTGGAGGGGCAGAGAGAGAGGGAGACACAGAATCGGAAACAGGCTCCAGGCTCCGAGCCATCAGCCCAGAGCCCGACGCGGGGCTCGAACCCACGGACCGCGAGATCGTGACCTGGCTGAAGTCGGACACTTAACCGACTGCGCCACCCAGGCGCCCCTGAAGACTTTTAAAATATCAGAATTTCCATTAGTTTGACTTTTTAAAAAAATATGTCCCTGCCTAAGGAAGTGACTGTTTCTCCCCACACTATTTCTTAAAGCTCTCTGTCCACCAAAAAGTGACTTCCCTGACCAGGGTAAACAAACCCCAGAAAAACCTGCCTTTATGGGTTTATGCCAATCCATTTTACTTCCAAGGATGGCAGAGAAAAATTAAGTTTACACAGGGTTTTGTCCACTTTGAATGCCAATTAAGTAATCAAGATAAGCATAATCATTACGGTGAGATGCTATCGTACTTATTTTTCACTAAGCCTGAAACCGTCATGACCTCTGGGTTGGCCACAGACAGAAACCATGCCAGGGACCTTATGGCATCCAAAAGCCTGGAGCCGTGAAGGGCTAGACTCCCAGGAGCTATAGGCTGGCAAGAGCCTCCTCTCTGCCCTTCTCTCCTACTTGAGGGGGATACGTTGAAGAAATCAAGGTCTGATGTGCTAGAGGGGAACCTCCACAAAACCGGGCATGAGCTAGGGCCCTGATATCCCAAGATGTCCCGGAAGCAGAACATCTTTCCAGCAGACAGACGTCTAGACAATTCCATCTCAGAAGTGAACATTATGAAAAGCCTGCTTTTAAAGCACTATTTGCCTTTAAGGAGACTTAAAGTAAGTTTCTTGAACACACTTCATGCATACTGAGGTCACAAACAAACCTCATGAAATTGCTATCATGGTTACATAGCAATTATTATGGCTGGCATAACAGATATACCATGGGTTTGCTCCTGTTCTTAACAATCCAAGCAAGAACTTATAAATGTTAAAAGAGTAGTAAATAGAAGGTAATCCTCAAAGGCTACTCTTAATCTCAATTTAATTGTATGAAAATTAAACATTACTTTTCCTAGACTATAATTTTAAAACTGCTTTAATTAGTGTAAAATACTGTCAAAGAAAGAGATGTTTTCTAATTTATTTCATTGAGCAAAGGGCTCCTAGTTTGGATTCTGCCATTTACCAGCTACCATCACCTGTCTAACAGTTTCAAAATCCCTGGCATTCAGCTAGGAACCTGTGAACATCAGTCTGATGACAGAAGCTTTTGTACAACATTGTTAACCTTGTGTTCCTTCTTATTTTTGCTACATACCGTAGTTTGAACTGTGAGCGAACTTCCCCGTGTTCTATTTGAATCAATTCATTATAGCAAGCAATTATGCTGCTATTCTCCATAAATCTCTGAAAAGAAAACAAAGATAATATGTAAGACATACAATGACTTCTTAAGGAGTCAAATAAAGGAACTTAGTTTTTCCCACCCCAGGTAACTCTGTTACATAAGACAACTTGAGAAATTGAAATGAAACAAAACAGTTGTCAAGCTCTTTGAAATGCTTGTTTAAATGTATGAGAAACAACCGATAAGGTAATACTGTATGCTTAACTCCCCTGGTAACAAAGGTGGGGAAAAACTTCATCACAAATACTCACAGGAAAATAAACATACAAGGGCAGAGACAGCATCTCCCCCCTTGTTAATTACTGAAACATTTTGGCTTTATTTTGCACTAAGAAAAGTCTTTTCAAACCCCACACTGGACACTTATGCAATGTGCCACAGTATGAATGGTCATTTTCAAGGGAAGAGACCCTTCTTTGCTAACTTCCTCATCTTCTGATTGCCAAATGCACTCTCCTCTTACACACACACACACACACACACACACACACACACACACACACACCATGCATCTAGCATGGATGGCTTCTCCCTGGGGAATACTTCTGGTTCCCCACTACTCCAGGGGGAAGCTGATAGAGGGTAATGAAAGGGGGGGGGGCATGAACACAGAACACAAACACAAAGAAGGGAAATACTTTCTCTTTTTCTGCAAAGTTAAACATGGTTAGGCTCAGGCTGAGCTTCTGGATGGGTGGAGATTATGTAAAAGCCTGTAGACAAGCTCTGAGCATTGTGAGCAGATGCTTTCTAAGATACTAAAAAGGATCTGTGATAAAAATCAGTTTCAAAAGTGTTACAATCAACAGTTGGGCAGATTTTTTTTAAAGACACCAATTTTAATAAATTTTATTGTCTGTTTTTAATTATAAAGTTATACACATTAATTTAAAAATGTGTAAAGAAAGTCATGGAGGAAAAAACCCCAAGTCACTAACAATGTTATAAGCTGGAGATATCATTACGTTTGGTTTATCTCCCTTAAGCTCCAATGCCTGTGTGTGTGTGTGTGTGTGTGTGTGTGTGTGTAATACTTTAAATACAGTCTGTAAAATCATACTGTATTTTCACTTTCATTTAAGTACTAACTTACTGAGATCTTATTTTCTTTAGTTCTAAGAACTTCCATTGTAGTGAAAAAGAGCTTTCTACAGGTGATGGTTTCTAAACACTGGAGCCCTTGTTTTGCACACCCCTTGTTTGGCACTTAATGACTCTTCTATAGACCGAAGGTAGAAGATTCTACTCTTTGGTGGTTTTCTAGGCTATGTTAACTCCTATTACTGAAATAATGTGAGTGGATCAAAAGTAGTGAACTTCAAACTTCAATATGCTAGGAATCACCATGCATTCTTCTAAAAATGTAGATTCGTGGGCCCCACATTCAGAAATTTAGAATGTTTCTTTAAGACAGAACTTCTCAGAGCATTCAATATGCTCATGTGCAATGTTCCTAGCATGCATTGTGCATTTCCAGGGGTGGGAAGAGGAGGAACAGTTCTCACTGATTTCCCAAGCTTATTTGACCATGGAAGCCTTTTTTCGTGGAACACCTATTAAGAACTTTTGGAACACTAGTGCGCCACAGAGTAGTTTGGGAACTACTACTTTGGTGGACCCAACGCGGAGTTTGGAGTTAAATAACACATTGTTCCTCCTTAACTTTGTCATGAGCTCTTGCAAACTATTTAGGCATTTTGAGACTGCTTCCTCCTCTGCAAAAATGGAGAAAATATTAAATTTCTTATGTGTAGATGAGGATTAAGTAAATCCCCTCAAATGGAACCTAACAGTCCATCTTAGCTCTCCACTTGCTCCTCCACAGGAAGCCTCCCCAGCGCATCCAACTGCTGTACTCACAGCAGGCCTACCCGATTGTATTTCATACAGTAAGTGCTTCACGAACACCTGTTGAGCAAGTAAGTGTCATTTCAAACAGAAAAGGGGCATGTAAAGGTTGATATAAATGCAGCTGCTATTGCCCTTTGCTTAATAAGATATTGGTTTGTAAAAGGCTCCGAATGGACTGAGTACCATGCAGTGAGCCACTTATACACAGCTACCAAAGCTTCATGGAGAGCTGTTGTGGAACATCTGATGGCACAATTTGTTCCTGGATCCCCACTCAGGGACCTACAGACTGATGCATTGGCCAATTAGCTAACAACACAGACCAGAGTTTTAGCAGATGATTTAATACAGTCAAAACAACCCAGAGATGAGAAACAAACTCAAGAATAGCCAGCATATTTGGAAGGGTGCTTGGGGAGAAAGCTGCCAAAGACAAGATTTTACCCAAAAAAGGAGACTAGCCACCTGGAGAGCTTCAGCTGATCTTGAGCCACAGTAACCCAGGAGGTAAAGCCTCAGTAGGTTTGGCATGTTTCTCACAGGAGAGCTCAAGCTATTTGGGGGGGGGGGGTCCCTGACCTAGCTGGTAAATGGCTTTGATCAGACTCAGCATTAAAGATTGCCAGGTGGTCCCTGACAGGTACTATCTTTCATGCTCCCTTGAAGAGTGTTATCCACAATGGCTGACTGCCAAGAGCAGCACCACAGCCCAACAAAGGGAAATGAAACCTACTAGAGCAGCACGGACCAAAGGTTACCAAAGGACTAAAAAGGAAACTGTGAACTTCACCTCCTCAATTTATTTAATGGCATTTGTACCCAAAGAGGGTCAGGTGTTCCTCCTGGATATAATGGGTATCTCAGCCCTCCAGACAATCTCTAAACCAGTTAGAGGTAGGCTCACTGAATTACAAGCAGAATATTCCTGAAGGATGGTTAACAACACCTATGTAGATCCTCACTGACAGAACCTACAGTGTGTCATGCTATTCTGTCAGCTCCCAGATAGTGCAGAAAACCTGCCTCCTCACACTCCCAGAGATCCTGCCTCACAGGTGAAGAACAAGGCTGGGATGGGGATCACCATTTAATGTAAGACCTACGAAAGCTGCAAATGACTACATCGTTTCTTAGGAAGTGCCTAAGAAAGGAAGTCTCAGCCACATGGCTTGACAATTTCCTTTTGCAACTCTCCATTCCCGGACTCAGAAGCACTGTCCTAGGCATTCTCATTAAGACATGACTCCCAATGCCAGCCTTTGATAGAGGAGATGATGGACAATGCTGTCAGGAGAGTTACAGTGCTAAATAGAAATATTTCTATTACACAGGTGAACCACTATGCTACCTTGAGTATTTTAAAGAGAACTGCTCCTGCACACCGAGGCATACCAAAGCACAAAACCACATCACACATTCCCGCTTCTCTGTGCTCTATGACAAGGATTGTTTTTTTAACCCAGGGTAGCAAAGCACCATTACATATGTGGGTTCAACCTATTTGGGGCCCTCTGGACCCCATGGATCTGGACGTCCATTTCTCTCCCGAGGTCCAGAAGTTTTTAGCCATTATTACTTTAAATGTACTTTCTGTCCTTCTTCTTCTTTTGCAAATACCTATAATGAGAATATTATAAGTATTGGGCTTTTTTCCCCCATTGTGTCCCATCATTACCTTAGGCTTTCTTCACTCTTTTTCATTCTGTTTTTTCTTTTTATTCCTCTAACTGGGTTATTTCCTATGGTCCCAGATTCTTTCCAGGTCCCAGATTCTTTCTTCAACATGGTCAAGTCTACTTCTGAAACTCTCTACTAAGTTCTTTAATTCAGTTATTGTATTTTTTCAATTCTATGATTTTTCTATTTTTTCTTTTCTTTTTTTGATGGCTGCTATTTCCTTGTCAAACTTCTCGTTTTGTTCTTGCACTGTTTTCCTAATTTCATTATTTGTCTCTGCTTTCTTGTGGTTTACTCAACTTCCTTGAGATGGTTATTCTGAATTCTCTAACACTTCACGGATCTCCATTTCTTTAGGATCAGTTATCGAAGCTTTATTAGTTTCCTTTGGTGTTGTCATATTTACCTGATTTTTCACGATCCTTGACTCCTCTGTTGGTGTCTGTGCATCTGAGTACCTGGGCTCATCTTACAGACTTTATAGGTTTGCTTTGGCAGAGACTTCATCAGTCAGCTCAGTCTGGGTTTCTGGGTGTGATTCCTGGTAATGACCTTGGTCAGGTAGGGCCTGCTATTATGATCTATTTCAGGGCAAGGCAAATGTCAGACTCTCATGACAGGGATGAAGCAGTGTGCTACTGGCTTGGCTCCCTACCCAGGCGAAGCTACAGGATGGGTTCTACAGTTGACTGAAGTTTCTGGTCAGGCTTACCAGATGGTCAGACCTGTGTACCGTATTCAGTAGTAGATGAGTCTGGGAACGACCTTCCCGGCCCTGCCCTGGCAGGGCAGCAGGATGGGATCCCAGGCCTGTACTGCTTGTTTTTTTAGGGACCCAAATTAGGCCAGAATGTGCACTGAATTTCCTGGTCAGGTGAGGCCACCAGTTGTGTTCTGAAGACAGGCTGTACAGTCTGTTCAAGCACCTCTGTATGTAGGGCTGCTGAGAGGGCTATGCAGGTTTCTGTGTGCTGTGGTTCAGTTCCCTGGCTGGAGAGGCTAAACGTTGTGTTCAGTGATGAGTGGGGCTACGAATTACATTTCCTGCCTGCAGCGGGAGAAGCAGCTCTAAAGCTAGTAAAAGTCTTTGTCTTAACTCTAGGGGGCCTGTTTGCCAAGCGTCCTGATGGAATAGTGCCATTGGCTTTGTTATGCAAACCATCAGTTCTTCCTTGCCCAGCCTGTCGGCTCCAGTGTTGTTGGGTGGCATCCAGGAGTTATCCCCAGCCCTTCTGGGCCGAAGGGGCTGGAAGACACTCTCCACAGCCAGTGTAGCTTCCGTGCCTGGGCAAGATGGGGAGGGGTCACTCCAGGCTACTCAATTTCCCAAACTGGCTCTGCAGGTTGGGAGAGGCTAGGAGCTAACCTCAGCCTGGGCTATGAATTAATCTGCCTTTGAATAGCAGATAGCTCAGAAATATTGCATGCCCAGTAAGGCCTCTACTCTGGGGACAATCAGCTCTGCATGCCCCTCCCTCAAGAGCCCCCGGGGTTGTACTGCATCCAGTCTTTCTGGTCAGACAGGGCCTTAAGACACTCTCTACACAGGATGGGCAAACCAGCTATAAGGCCAACAAAAACTCCTGTGAGGATCCAAATCCTCACAGAGTGCAGACCAGCACTCTGCAGAGTTCTCTGGTCAGACTGCACCTGTGACTGGGTCCTGAAGATGAGCAAAACCACTGGTTGGGTTACTACTTGGGAACTGCAAGTATGAACTTAGTCTGCCAAGATCCAGGGACTGGTTGTTGCCCAGCCCCACCTCGCCCGCCCCCCACCTCAGTCACATTCTCAGTGGCAGAGCCACAGAGACTTCCTTGGATTCCCCATACTGCAAGATCAGAGTACGGGCTCCCACAGAGTAACCCATAACACTGGGGTCGGGGAGCTGGTAGTCACCCCTGGGCTCCCTTTCCACTTCAGTATGAGGGAAGACTTCTCCGGGTGACGCTGCACTGGCCGGGGGAGGGGCAGCGTGGTCACTGGATAACTGCTTTTCCTACCTGGCCTGCTGACACAGCAGGGGTGATCACACTGCACCTGTGATGCAGGGGTGCTTCAGCCTCACCTCCATGTCCTAGGATCCTCTCAGCAGTCTCTTGTTCTTGAACAGTTGTCGTTCGCGTGAGGAATTAAGTCAGGAACAACCTGTGTCTCTCTCTTGGTGTCATAGCCAGTGGAGTAATCCATCTCAAGCTTTACATTGAACATTAGTGTTATTCATGTAGTTGTGACTCAAGTAACTTTTCTTTGCTGACACGGATGGCTTAAACCACGAGTTGACAGATGTGAAAGCCATCATGGGTCTGTCCCTAGGGTATAAGCTCTGGCTGGGCCCTGAGGCACACAGAACCCTAGGTGCCAATTTGGTGGACTTTAACCATATACCGTATAACATTCACATACAAAGACTGAGTCTCACTGACTGGACTCATTTAAGTGAGGTTACTTTGGGACTACAGAATTTTGACCTGTTGATAATAAGATGTGCCTTTAGGTCATTACATTTCTATGACTAAGACACATGAAGTTATGAGAGAAAAAGCTTGAGTAGCGAGTAGCAGTCGCTTATTACTGTCCTGTGAGAACAGCTACGTCCTTTCCCTCAAGGTCCTGGAGCTCAGTTCCCTTAAAGGTTATCTGTGGCTGTGCTATTAGGTGAGAACCAAGGATGAAGCTTCGGTACCGGACAGGGGTGCTGAGTCACCTCCTACATACATACCCTATTGAAGCCTGCATGCAGGAGCGGGAGGACCGAGGCCTCTTCATGGTCGCCTGATCTGCAGCAAAGCAGAAAATGCAGTCACTCACCAGATACAAACCAGGGTTCCTCACACTGAAACATGGAGAGCGAGCAGCGAGGCAAGCATGGAGTTTGCATGAAGAGTGGCTTCCTGACCAGCATGTGTCCGTGGGATGTACCTGCCTTCGAGGACCCAGAGTCCCACATTTGCCTTCCAGATGCAAAAAGAACACCAACAGGAGAGAAAACTCCAGCAGTGTGCCTGAAAGCATGACCATGGCACACATGAGTGGCCATCTCCAAAGCTGGGCTGGCCTCGAAAGCTGAAACACATGGATGGGACAAGGTGGGTGCATTGCTCATCCCAGAGACTATCCTTTATGTTTTCCCCCAAACTTTCTGGAAATACAACACCCACCCCAAGACCTGGCTGGGTCCAACTTGCAATGTGAGGAAGTCAACTGGCACTATAGACTGCAGCACCCCATAACCAAATGGAAAAGAAGGGTCATTAAGAATGCCAAGGTAGAAAGGAAAAAGAGAAAAAAAACTGAGGGTATTGTCCCTCATTTCATGGAAGGTTTCCTATACTGAGCCTATAGTTGGGTCTCAGAACAATCTGAGTACAATGAATGTCTGCTCATAGCATGACAAAGACATGCTATGTTGGGAAACAGGGAAGGAAAATGGAATAAAAGATAAATAAAATGGGTGGAGGGGCAGGTGGAGAACAAGAAGAGAAATGCCGGTGCTTGTTGGTGGCATTACCTACAGCTCATGCCTTCCCTATAGGAAAGCGCAGTCCTCTCTTTTCTACCATGGAACTCTAGATTCTACCTTCTCTGAGTGACAGATCGGGATGGGGGCAGGGGTAGGGTGGCACACAAGAGTCTGAAGGTAGCAACAACATTCTATTTCATAAGCTGTGTTGCACAAACTCAGCATTCATTTTATTATTATTCTCTATCTGTAAAAAATACATTATTTAAAAAATAGGGGGGAGAGGGTGAAAAATAACAAGCCACAGCAAATCATTATTTGTCAAGGATCAGTAAGTATTTTTAATATGTGACTAGAAAAAAATTAGTATTTCTCTTCTGGGTCCATGGAATGAGTCAGCCTTGGGGAATATGCACGTGGCCTGGTATCTCCTGGTATCCATGTCTGAGACTCTAACACCCTATTAAGACCTCATAGTGCCCACAAGACAAAATACAAACAAGGGGGCAAAGAAGGCTGAGTGTACATCTTGATTCCCCTCACTCATTCTCCTTGAGACCCCATATATCACATGAGGATAATGACGTGGTAAGGAACCAATGAGGATAATTTCTTTCCTTTCCATGGCCCACAGCCCACAGTGGGAATCCAAGTGAAGTGACAAAGCTCCCAACAACAGACCCAAGGAATAGCGGGGAAGGAAGAGTCTTTGGTTGGGGTAAAACTATGGAGCCAGGATTTCCTCCTGTACCAATATGGCTTTAGAAGACAGTATTTCAAACCTCCCCGGGCCAGGCTTGCCTGGGGGAGACCTAAACTCTCCAGTCTCTGTTGCCGGCTTGTCAGCAACTTTGCTGCAGACTCTGTGAGAGCTGCCACAATGGAGCCAATGCAGTAGGTCCTAGGCCCTAAATAAAGGTCTTAGTCTCTCAGAAGCTAATGATGGCATTAAGCAAACACCACAATTTGGATACTGCAAGGATTTCAAGGGTTGTAGCTTGTACAAACAACTTTTTTTCTTCGAGGTCTTTCATCCTAAGTGGTGGCCATTTCAGACAACAAACCCTGAAGAGAACCTTCTCATCCCACCATCTCATACCTACAGCCCAATCCCCCTTTTTTGCCTTCCAACGTTGGCATGCAACCTTGTGTCCTGCTTCTAGACACTGAAGAGTCACAGTCCAAATTATACAATCCTTTCCTTCCAGCGTATTTAGAGTGCTTCTTTGTTCTCATGCTGTAATTTGTTTCTTCCTTAGTGAAAAACAAGCATTCTCCCTCCTCTTATCTTCAAAGAAAAGATAAGCGGGAACAATGTTCTCCCCAGACATCTTTGTCAGATTTTCTCATACTTCTATCATGCGAGGAGTGCTCATTTTTTCCTAAGATGTACAGGTATGTGTTAACAGCAATTAAATATGACAGAGAAAAGGGTGAATATTTCCAGAAACTTGCAAAACAAAGAACACCCCCACAGAGTGAGATCTAAGGTTGGTGTTGTAGGGCCGAGGGCATGCCCAGTGCTGTGCTGGCTCAAAGACTGGATTCCACCAGACAAATGTTTCAGAATGAACAGTACTACTTCCAGCTGGGGACGGAGGTGAGCTTACGCTTGGGAAACCACCGCCAGGATCACCGTGTGCTCGGAGGGATTCGTGGCTCGGATCGACCTGCAATGAAAAGGCTCAAGTCAAACCAAGTGATCTAAGCTTTGTTACAATGAACGCATGCGGAACTTCACATTGAAAATGGCACAAAACCAAATCAAGACAAAGTCTAAAAACACATGCAAGACAACAAAGAAAGATGCCCTTGTAGATTAGGACAAACTCTTTGTTTTACTGGAAAAAAAAAAAAAAAGATTTTGTTTTTAACGCCAAGGCAATTATCCAATAGGTCAGACCTGCCAATTTTCCACTTCAAAAACTGGCAAATTCCACTTAAATTCCATGTTTTCTGACTGAAATTCCACTCTGCAAAAAAACTGGCAGTCCTAGAGGTCTCTAGTTATCAGTTTGTACTTGGGGAGCTCATTGCATTGGACCTTTTTTTCTTTTAAAATAGCAGGGAGCCCAGAAAGATGACCTTATTATAAAAATTAATACACTCACTGGCAGCTGGACATACAAACTCAGTTTAAGCCTATTAAGGGTGGTACAAACAAACACCTAATTTTGTTGGTTGCACTGTTGTTTGGCTCAAATACTTGAGACAACTGGATTGTCAACTAGGGCTGAGAAAAGCTGCAATATAGCGTCTATCACTGTGATGATACCTGTTGTACTAGGACCACCTGTATGTACTTTATTCCCTAGGAATTTAATAGGATTAAAATAGTTAAGGATATAGAATTTTGAGGTCTGTGCATCTTAGAAAATGTGCTATGTGTATTCCTGCAGATTCTGGATTATTCTGGTCAGGGGTGGTGAATTGGATGAACTTTTAATCAAGGGTCCCATACTTGAATCTTACTACAAATAAGCAGTATGCTTGTTTTGACCCATCTCCCTGGTCTGGACTCTGTTTATTTTGAGAGCCCTGGGAAGAGAACCATCATCTCCAAGAACAGAAGGCTCAAGGCTGCTCCTGAGTCATTTGTGAAACAGCATGTATTTGTTGATCTTTCTAGCTATTGGCATTTCAGCTCTTCTCCATTTCAACATGTTTGTACTACCGCTCCCCCAGAAAAAGCCAGCTTGTATTGCTTCATTTCCTTCAACTCTAAAATTTCCTGACCTTTCTCAAAAAATGTACCTTCCCATTTCCTATTCCTGGAGACCTCACTCTACGTGGGTGGAAGGCTCAAAAAAATGACCAGCTCTGGTCTTCCTGGGAAGTAAAGGTTTCCCTGGTGGATAAATGGTATTTGAACAAACGCCTTAAGTTCAATGGCTTCACTCACTGTGGAACAGAGGAGTAAGTCAATATCCCTTCCAAGGCTAGCACAGACTACTTCCTGAATTCAGCCATCCCACAGCACAAGTCCTGGTAAGGTGAAGCTATAGTTTTTGTCTACCTACGAACCTACTGAATTCTCAGCAGCACCTAATGAAAAAAATGCACAGCAAGTCAGGTGTGCCCTACTCCCTAGGGAAATACTAAGCACTTCTCACCTTTGTTGAACCTCTTCCACCCCAGTGAGGTGTTAAGGCTATACTGCTAGGCTATGTTCTAAGGGGTGGGCCTCAAGAGGCTCAAACTCTTGTTACGAACATAACAGGGCTGGGGCCAATGTTCACTTAGCTTCTTCTGAAACTGGCTTGCATGTTCTGGGTTGCTTCTTGTCGGTATTTCTTCATTCTTCTTCCTCCCAAAGAAACTGGTACGGTCAGAGACACCTGAACCTCTTCCTGACTGAGAGGACTAAGGGGGACTGGAACAGGTGGGCCACGGGTCCAAGGAAGCATGTTAAGCTAAGGTCCAGTCTAGCTCAAAAATCCAGGGATCCTGGACCAGAGATGACAATGAAGATTGCACATGTGTCAGGAGTGGGTCCCTTACACATCTTAGGAACATGTGCTGGCAGCCACACATTGAGGATTCTGGCTGCATGTGACATAACCACTAACAGGCAGTAATCACACTCCCAGATACACAACCTGGCTTCTACCTGCACAGATCCCCCACTGTTTTTCTGTGCGGCTGAGACAGAAGTATATTTATCAGACATCAAAACTACATTTCTTTATATTGAAGGAAGATGGTAAAATCTGCTAAATTTTGTCTTTACCTGAATTATAAGAGTTTTTTTATTTTTACACCTGAAGTTTGTCTTAAATCATGCCATGTATGCACAAAGGATTATGGCGTTTTTAGTAGAAAAATCATGTAAGAAAAGTCAAGGCCAAGAAAAAGTAGATCTATTTATAAAGGACCCAATGCTATCCGTTCAATCATTTAAAAAGAAAAAAAAAATTCCTGATACTGAGAGTTATCATCCAAATATTTTATGATGTATTTATTCACATATATAATAAATGAGTAGGAAAACATTTCTATGCAGCATGCCAAGATATCTGAGACCAATAAGACATGTTAAAATATGTTCTGTAGGAAAAATTCTTCTTTAGGAAAATGAAAATGGTCAAAAAATAACAAGGCCAGGCCTTTGCTGAGAAACGTCTCTTACTTAATCCAATCATTTCTTGCCAGAGTACCAAAGGATCTGAGAACCCACTTCCCTGTGTTTCATTTCACTTACTAACATTCAAGAAAATTCCAGCTCCATATGTAATTGGAGTCTGTGCCGGTCTAGCATTTAATTAGTGACCTCTTGCCATCTAGCTTCAAAGCATTCCAATTCTGCTAAACGGATCAGTTCATCCACGGCTAACTCTTAGGACTGCATTTATTTATGAACAGGCATGCATTTCTCCCCCCGGAGTGCAAGCGTTTCTGTAAACAAGCGGAGAGTTTGGATCCCTGGAAGATTTCCTGCGGCTGTGAAGTGGCTGCCTTTGCTCCGCGATTACTGTACGATCTACCCCATCTGTGTCAGGCAGGGAAAAATGTGTATTTCACACATTTCTGATGTTCATTTGGGGACAGAATAATTAAGATTAAAATATCTGGTTTAAATCCAAACCATATCTGTATAATAAGAACTGTGTGAATTTTAATGTCTTTTGTGTGTGAACGCGTGAAATATGAGCAATTCTCAGAGGGAGAAAAAAACACCTTGACATTTTCTGAGGCACCCAGATCACACCTCTAAATTCAATGGAACTCAAACGTGGAAAAGCAGAAAAGGTGAAATAAATTCATAGGAGGACCTATAGCTTTCATCACAGAAATCTATATAAACTGCTTAGAAACATCAACACACAGGGGCGCCTGGGCGGCTCAGTCGGTTGAGTGTCCGACTTCAGCTCAGGTCATGATCTCACAGCTCATGAGTTCAAGCCCTGCATCAGGCTCTGTGCTGATAGCTCGGTGCCTGGAGTCTGCTTCGGATTCTGTGTCTTCCTCTCTCTCTGCCCCTAACCCACTTACATTCTGTCTCTGTCTCTCTCAAAAAGAAACAAACATTAAAAAAAAATTTTTTTTTTAAAAAGAAACATCAACACACATTTTAGAAATACTTGGGATGGAACTAAAGACATCTATAAATGAATTTCATTTTTGGCTACTGGGTGAACGTTTAGTGAGCATGTTACATTAGGGAAGGTACCTGCACACTGCTTCTGCATCAAAGTTTCGAGTCTGCCTGTGATCTATTACGATAATTTCATGATGTTTATCCAGAAAGCATTCCAGGGCTGACTCTGGAGTCCGGGCAATATTGCATCTATAACCAGCTCGGTCACAGGCCCACCAGAATCCATCACTCTGACTATCTTCCTTTGCAAAGATCAGCAAAACCTGAAACACACGCAGAAAAGTATCTTACAAGAAATCATCATTCTTGCGAGACTCTATTAAAAAACAAGACTACGGTATAATGGTTAAAAATGCAGTGTCTAGAGAGAAGCTACCCGAGTTCAAATCCCAGCTCCCCCAACTGGTTCCAGTGTGTCTTTGAACAAGGTATTTCCTTCATTTTTCCTACAGTTCCTCCATTGTCAGACATGCCATGCCAGCAAGTTGTGAAACTTACAGGAGCACGAAGCAGGCGCTCAGTCACTGGTGGTGGCTGATGCTCATTTTTAATTTCCCCAGTTGGCTTTGTTTTTAAATATTTAAGCAGTGAAATTAACAGGATAATTAACACAGGTGAGACTACGGTTCACACTTATACCTATTTGGTTCCAGTACAGGTGGTGTTGGCCTCACAGAACCTGAAGACCAACCCTCTGAGCCTAGCAATTAGATCCCTAGAAAGACACAGGAAAGGGAAATAACTCAAAGCAACCTCAAAAACTAATTTTAACACCCAACCCATGCTAGAGTCTGGAAAGAATGACCATGAAATGTGAAGATAATGGAGCCAAATTGAGGAAAACTTGCTCCTTTCTGCCTGAGAAGTGCAGCCCCACTGGAAAGAAGCTGGCAATACCCTGTGTCCCCCTCACCAGCCCCGGGGCTCCAGCACCAGATTCTCTGGCAGAAAGCCCGAGAAAGCCTTCTCACCGCCTGAACTTGTTCATTTATTTGCTTGATTATGCTCTATCCTCCCACTGGAATTGAGCTTCAGGACCGCAAGGACCTGCCTACCACGTTCCCAGCTACCCCCTCCCTCACCCGTGTGCGAAGATGGCACTTACTAGCTGCTCAGAAATATTTGGTGAGTTAAAGGTTAACTAACTGTAGAGTTCTCTGCAAAACGCAGAAGGGTTTTATTTACTATGATTAGAAATAAGAGGTTCTCATAAAGAGATGCAATTATCTCAAGACACAGATAAGGCATTTAATGGTTTTCAGCATCCACTCCTGGTTTAAACAGTTAGCAACAGAAGGGTTTTTGTCACAACATGAAGTGCCTTTAAGCCAATAACCAATATCATTCTTGATGATGAAACATCAATGTGCTTCGTTTACATTCAGAAAGACGAATTGTGCAGCCATTACCATTACATTTTTAAGATGTTTTATTAATTAAAAATTGGCAATATATAGAAAAAAACACAATACTATAATAAACCTAATGCACCCAACACCCAGCTTCAGCAATAACCAACTCCAGGCCAATCTGTCTTCATTTCTACCCTTCCCCAATTTTCAACACTTGCACTGGTTTGCAGCAAGGCCTGCATATCACATTATTTCATTCATTGGTATCTGTTAAAGACTTAAAAAAAAAAGAAAGAAAAGAAAACCACAACACCATCTCATACCTAAACCTCCCCAATAGCTCCTTAACATCATTAAATATCTGAATGCATCATAAATGTCATTTGTTTTACATTGTTTAAGTCATTTCCTGTTTTCCCAAATACCATGTTTCCAGAAGAGACAGAATCATTTTCAACATGATTTTGACATATCCTTCTTTTTTAATAGAACTTGTATTTATTTACTTTTTTAAGCTGTATTTTATTTTTTTTAATGAAATTTATTGTCAAATTGGTTTCCATACAACACCCAGTACTCATCCCAACAGGTGCCCTCCTTAATACCCATCACCCACCTTCCCCTCTCCCCTACCCCCCATCAACCCTCAGTTTGTTCTCAGTTTTTAAGAGTCTCTTATGGTTTGCCTCCTTCCCTCTCTGTAACTTTTTTTCCCCTTCTCCTCCCCCATGGTCTTCGGTTAAGTTTCTCAGGATCCACATATGAGTGAAAACATATGATATCTGTCTTTCTCTGCCTGACTTATTTCACTTAGCATAATACCCTCCAGTTCCATCCACATTGCTACAAATGGCCAGATTTCATTCTTTGTCATTGCCAAGTAGTATTACATTGTATATATAAACCACATCTTCTTTTCCCATTCGTCAGTTGATGGACATTTAGGCTCTTTCCATCATTTGGCCATTGTTGAAAGGGCTGCTATAAACATTGGGGTACAAGTGCCCCTATGCATCAGCACTCCTGTATCCCTTGGGCAAATTCCTAACAGTGCTATTGCTGGGCCATAGGGTAGGTCTATTTTTAATTTTTTGAGGAACCTCCACAATGCTTCCACAGCAGCTGCACCTCCCAACAACAGTGCAAGAGGGCTCCCGTTTCTCCACATTTTCTCCAGCATTTATAGTCTCCTGATTTGTTCATTTTAGCCACTCTGACTGGCATGAGGTGCTATCTCAGCATGGTTTTGATTTGTATTTCCCTGATGAGGAGTGACGATGAGCATCTTTTCATGTGCCTGCTGGCCATCTGGATGTCTTCTTTAGAAAAGTGTCCATTCATGAGATTTTGACATTTTCTTCTTAGCACATGGCTTGAAATCACACACTAGTAACACAGGATGCAGCCACACTTACTAAGAGCTCACCCTGGGCTAGGTCTCTCACTCCTCACTCCAGAGTGCTCCTAAAAGTTTTTGACCAAAGAGCTACTTCTAGGAAGAAGTGGCAGGTGGCTCTTCTAAGAGAATTGAAGGGCACAGCCTTGTGGATTTGATAATGAAGAGAAAGTCTTCAAATGAAACTATTAACAAGAGAGCTACAGTGTACAAGTCAGGTAGAATAAATTGGTTTGTGTGTAAAGTCAATAACAGCTATGGTATTAACACGAAAAACTCAATACACAGGGCTTAAAAGTCGGAAAAGATAAGAGAATTTCTTCTTTTTTCTTTTTTTGGAGTTAATTCTTTTTTAAATTTATTTTTTAATTTACATCCAAGTTAGTTAGCATATAGTGCAACAATGATTTCAGGAGTAGATTCCTTAATGCCCCTTAGCCCATTTAAACCATCCCCCCTCCCATAACCCCTCCAGTAACCCTCTGTTTGTTCTCTGTATTTAAGAGTCTCTTATGTTTTGTCCCCCCTCTGTGTTTATATTATTTTTGTCTCCCTTCCCTTATGTTCATCTGTTTTATAAGATGAGAGAATTTCTTCTCAGTCCTCTGTCTAGCTGAACTAGGACTTGCTAAACAAGAATCTCAACACTTTAGATTTCCTTTATACCATCTGGCCTCAATAACTGACTAATACAATAAGAACACACTGTATTCCCATGTTGGGCACTGCTGAAGATTAACCTCGTAATACTTACAGACTGTTCCACTTTTGGAAAAATAATGTCATTAATAAACAAAAATTTTCCAAGCACCTTCTACGTTCCCAGCATTGTCTTTAACTGCTTAGAGTACAGTGATGAAAATAATAAAGACCCTTGCACTATAGAGGTAGAGGGGTAAAGAACATGAATAGTAAGTAAGCAAACGACACTGAATGTTGAAAGTGCTAAGTGCTACGTACAAACAGTAGGAGAGGGGAAGGGAGAGCAAAACTGGGCACTGGAAGCAACATTAAGGAAAGTGGTTAGGGTAGGTCTCACTGAAAAAGTAACATAGGCACAAATGCCTGAAGGAAACAGAGAAGGAAGCCAAGTTGATGTCTGAAGGAAAAGCACTCCAAGCAGGAGAGGGCTCTACTGGTCCCTAGAGTGGGAAGTGTGCTGGATGTGTTCAAAGAACTATAAGGAAGCCACTCTGACAGAGGGAAGAGTGAGAGGCAAAGTCTAGTTTCCAGCAGAGGGCTGGGTCACATTAAGGCCATTTGAGGAACTTATACTGGACTCCACATGAGAACTCACAAAACTGATTCAAAGTGAGCAACGGTATTAACCATGTCTTGTTATTTTCTGTAGTTCTAACACTTTGACATCTAAAGCCCTGCGACCCTGTGCCTCCAAAGAGGGTTAGTCAATTTCTGGAAATAGCAGAAAACATGCCTAGAAAAGCACCCTTCAAATGCAAATCAATCCACAGCCCAGACTCCTACCACTTCTTTTATCACGCTTTAATGCATGGAACCACTATTCCACCTACCCTAATCACTCCAGGGCCAGGAATCAAACAACCAGAGACAAACCTTTATGCCCCAAATTCCCCTGCGATGATTCAAGCTGGCCAAACCTGCTTACCCTCCTTTACCCATTCCTTCCCACAGAAGCCACAGTGAGACTCTTGCCCACATTTTCCTCTTGGTCTCTCTGCCTCCTGACCAACCTTGGTGCTAAACGTGTGGTCTGTCATGGCATAGGGTGCCCCCTCCTCCAAGTGACAAACTGTTTAATCATAGTCATTTCCTGATCTGTTGGTCTCACCCTACCTAAATAATAACATCTTCATTTTAAAACAAGACTAATTATATTGTAAAAGCACTCATGAGAGAATTTCTTTGGGTAGTGTTTAAACTTCTTCCCATTTAAGGGTAATGTATGGAACTATTAGGTTATTATAATGTATACCTGAAACTAATATAACACTGTATGTTAACGGGAATTAATACTTAAAAAAATAAAATTCTTCCCATTTATTAAAAAAAATCAGAAAGACTACTTTTCAATAATTCAACTCCTAAGTGAAAAATCTATAGGAATAAAAATATATATATGCATTTTACAGTGAAGTACTATAGTAATTACCTTTTTCTGATGTATGCCTATCTCTGGAACATTGCATCTTTTCTAGGAAAGTCGCGGGCCCAAGTAACTAGGATTGGACTTTGCCCCTATCTCCCAGTGCAGCTGGGCTAATGATATTCTGTTTCCAGAAATTTGGGATTTGAACAAAAGAGACACAAAGGCCAGGAAATGAGACCTGTAGCTCATTAATAGTAGAGATATGGAAGCAAGAGCCTTCAACTCTTGCTGTCAAAGTACTCAGAGATGGCTCACTGCCACACTTTCTAAGCCAGAGCTTTCAATTCCTCCTTGAATTCTACAAAGAAAAAAAAATTGCACGAATACGTTTTTATTCATTTATTTACTTTGTTGTATAAGGGAGCTCTCGCTTGCAACCAAAGAAAA